TAGAATGAAACAAGATCAGTAAAATATGTAACATAGAATAAGTTAGAACTAACAATGCATATGTACGAACTAGAATGAAACAAGATCAGTAAAATATGGAACTTACACACAATAGTGTCATGCAACCCATATGTACGAACTAGAATGAAACAAGATCAGTAAAATATGGAACTTACACACAATAGTGTCATGCAACTTGGGACATATGCGACCCTTTGCTTCTTCTTTCCCTCCAAAGCAACTCTAATGCCCCTGATAATTTTATTATAAAAGAACTTGGCCCATGCAACAGAATTGACCCTCTGAATGCTATCCAGGTACCCGAGTAAGGGTCTAGGGATACCTTCCCCTGCTATGGGACTCCATATCATAGAGCATTGGTACAGAATTTGTAGCAGAAAAAAATCCTCGATATCCCGCTTTTTTGTAGATTCAACTAGCCGTTCAAGTAGCCCTTCAAGATGTTTACGTTGGGTGATTTCTGCTTTTTTTAACTTCTTACCCTCTTCAGAAATGAAAAGATTAGCGAAGTATTCCACCCATATTCTGCTTCTTGAGTCCCTATTGTTACTTATGACTTCCCCATAAATTGGGAAATGAGTATGGTTATGGACCCATTGCAAATCAAATCTAACATTTTTCATACACCCACTTTTTGAATCAGGTATACAAAAGGTGTTATTATCTCTGTCAAAAAAGCTCAGCAGCAGTTCAAGGGTGGGCCGATCAGGCGCAGGAGCCCCAAATAAAATATAGTGCTGAAATATAGAACCGCAGTATGCATCCTTATGCCACTGACGGATCTTCGGAGTAATGCGCTTCATGAATCCCCAATAAGCCCCGATATTGGCCGTTAACCTTAGTGTTTCTGCTGAGCCTGTTAGAGCAACTTTTTCCCTGCAAAAAGTTTTCGAATTTGTAAGTTCAATAAGACATATGAACTCATATTAGACCTAGTACTAACGGGAACAAAATAGAGCTAACACGTAGTGTTATAGAACTAACATTGGACTCAAACTAGAACTAACATTGGACTCAAACTGAACTAACATTGGACTCAAACTAGACTAACATTGGACTTAAACTAGAACTAACATTGGTCTCAGACTAGAACTAACATTTGACTCAAACTAGAACTAACATTGGACTCAGCCTAGAACTAACAATATTGGGGTAATCTGCATTGTCTCTTCGCGGTATAAACCCGTATTCTTGAAGATTAAACCTAGCCATTGCCGTTGCCGAATACTGAATAACATAACACTTACTGTTTTTTTGAGGGGGGTTTGTTGGTACGACCAGCCATTGCCGTCCTCCTTTTCTGGGCTCGCCATTGTACTGCCTCCTTTTGCATTTCGATTAGGGTTTGTGTAGCTTCCGTAGCTTCCTCCGCGCTGCCACCCGCAGATGAAGCGCCTTTTCCTTCCAACTCGGCTCGACGAACGACCTCGTAGTCGTTACTGGATCCTTCCATAGACGACATTTTCCTGGCGAAAACCCTAGAAACGTTGAAATCCGTACAGAAATTAGGAAGATGAAGAGTTTTTTAGGGTGCTAGGTGGAAGAGAGAGAAAGAGAGGGAGAGTACTTGTAAAGGTATGGGGCGCATTAACCCAGCTCAGTCCCATCAGAGGGCAAGATCGTAACTTCTTCTGGGTTTTTTCTAAAAAAAGTTAATTCAGGGCCTCGTCGCAAATACTATGCGTATTTGGGGCTATTCCACATGGGGCAAAGTACAAGGGGGCTAGTCACACGAAGTTCACACTTTTGGGGCCTGGACACATTTTTCCCTTGATATAATTCAAATCCTTTACTTATTTCAGATCACAAAGAAATCTAAAAAACATATGCTAGCCAGCACCTAAAATTTTTGGACTTTGTAAAAAATATCCTCCAAGTTTTTTAAATTATAAAAACACCCCTACAAATTTAAAATTTTATTAAAACATCTTGAAATTTATAAATTTTACTTATTTTAATTCAGTAAGAAATCTAAAAAACATATGCTAGCTAGAAATTAAAAGTTTTTTGACTTTGGAGAAAATATCTTGTAAGTTTTAAAAATTACAAAAATACCACTAAAAATTCAAAATTTATAAAAAACACCTTTAAAATTTCAAACTTATAAACACACTAAAAACCTACAAATAACACAAACAACCACCAAATTTATGGAATTTACAATAAACACTCTGAACTTTTTACAAATTACAAAATAAAACCCTCAGAATTGTAAATTTATAAAAATTCTGAATAAACACTCTGAACTTTTTACAAATTACAAAATAAAACCCTCAGAATTGTAAATTTATAAAAATTCTGATAATTTCTAACCTAATAGTACATTGAAATTTATAAAAATTCTGATAATTTCTAACCTAATAGTACATTGAAAATATAGGAATTATAAATATCTCGTACATAATTTATAATTTAAAGACCATAGTCTGGATTTATAATTTAAAGACCATAGGAATTATAAATATAAGAATATTCTCTTCTACATAAAAAGTGTTGATATAATTTTCTTAAAAAATATATATACATAGTAGCAAAAGTATGTACTTCAGTTCAACTCAAATATTGGCTTGAAGCCATTTAGAGTGAGGTCCTTTCTACTCTAAAATGGTGATATAGTGATTACAGATTCTAAAAGTCAAAGAAGAAATTTGTACAAAGAAAAAATAATTTAATGTGTCAAATTAAGAAGTAATTTGTAAATTATACATGGGCAGTGTAGATAGCTATAAAAAGTAATGTATATATATTCATAAAAACTTCATAGTGAGCGACCAACTATAATCATCCTAATTTAAGCATAATTAATTATTATTTTAGTTACTAATTTGATACACTTAACTATGAAATAAATCTCCAACAAAAATAAAAATTAAGATTGTATTATGCTATAGGTAAATAAATAAATGTTATTAGAGCTCCTCTTTATATTAAATTTAAAAGTAATAATTTAAATTATTAAGTACCAGATATTAGCTCATGTGAGAAAGTAAAGTAATCTATGATCTATACACGTTTATAGTCAATCAATCAAACGTATTAAATTTATGATGACCATAGTCAAAATTATATGGTGGGTTCATATTAAATATAATTTATAAAAAAATAGTACATTAAATCAAAAACTTTTTAACCACTATATATATTATCTGAAATTTTTTACATATATAAACTATATTGCCTAGGAATAGTGATGTGCGTACTTAACTATGGCCTAATAATCTTATCGTTATTGTTTCTTTCAATCCAGACTGGTCTATTATTTATTTACCTACATCATAATACAATCTCAATTTTTATTTTTGTTGAAGATTTATTTTCATAGTTAAGTGTATCAAATTAGTAACTAAAATAATAATTAATTATGCTTAAATTAGGATGATTATATTTGGTCACTCACTATAAAGTTTTTATGAATATATATACATTACTTTTTATAGCTATCTGCACTGTCCATGTATAATTTACAAATTACTTCTTAATTTGACACATTAAATTACTTTTTCTTTGTACAAATTTATTCTTTGACTTTTAGACTCTGTAATCACTATATCACCATTTTAGAGTAGAAAGAACTTCACTCTAAATGGCTTCAAGCCAATATTTGAGTTGAACTGAAGTACATACTTTTGCTACTATACGTATATATTTTTTAAGAAAATTATATCAACACTTTTTAAATAGAAGAGAATATTCTACCCTCTGATATTATAAAAACTAAATATAACCAATTGAGTGATTAGCAAAAGAGAACTTACATCAAAAAAGTGTGAATAATAAGATAAAAAAGAAAGGTAATAACATTACAACAATACTACAAATAGTAAATTACAATGTAAAGTTAACATATTTTGTGGAGCCTAACTACTCACTATAAACATTGAGTTTTCTATATATACTTTATAATTTATTTAAAAATGTCATATATAGTAATATCGTTGTAATAATATCGTTATTAGAAAAATTTCTTCATGAATCAATATGTTCGTTACGATATATAAGCTATGCACTCCAAATTCTTGTGTCTTTTATAGAGTCAAAAAGTTTGAATATGAGCCTCTAACATGTTGCTCTCACAACAACAAAATCCACTTAGCAGATGTGGATATTCCAGTTTGAATATGAGCCTCTAACATGTTGCTCTCACAACAACAAAATCCACTTAGCAGATGTGGATATTCTATATGAGTTATGTATCCTATATACAATACAATTACCTTAGGCAAGTGAGTTATAATAGTATTTTTTATTCACATCGTTTAGGATAAGATTTGATAGAGACCTTGTATCAAAGAAAAAAAAATATATTTAGAGCACATAGTGAAATATATCATAATCTTGTTGTTTTAATTTTGTAAGAAAATAATTCTTCATACTTTCAATTTTACTTCTATGATATAGAGAATGAGCTATAAAATTGAATGAGAATATTAGATAATATAAATATGAGTGAAACAATAACTAAAAGTTAATGTGAATATGAGTCAAACCACAACTAAAAGTTTAATGGACATATTACAAGTAAATTCATATGCAAAATTCTTTTTACGAATTGAATGATCACTCATCTTTTGAAGACTTCAAGATACTAATAAATAGAGGTTTTGTATTAGATTAATGTGTTTATAACTCACAAATAGTAGATCACGTGGCCACATAACTCACAAATAGTAGATCACGTGGCCACCGTCTGAGTTGAAAGAAATAATGATAATATTTTATTTAAGAGAGAGATGATTGAGTTGATCAATCCCACAAAAAAATTTTATTTTCTTTTTTAATTTTTACTCTATTGTTATCAATTTAAATAATCATGATATTCAATCAATGCACGTGCATCTCAACTAGTAATTAAAAATCTATTTTCGGAGCGCACAAGCAACCCTCATAATCAACATCATCCAAACTCACGCAAGCAAGGTGAAACAGTAATAGCTGAAGAAGGCATCCCCTTCTCTACGGAATATCCGACCATAAGATTCACATTTTCACAATCAAAGGTACAAACAGTTTCATTGATGAAAGGATGAAGCAACTCCAAGTGAGTACTCGACAATAATGGCAACAGAGCACGAAACCATACGAAAACTTTCCTCTGTCCCGTTGTTGCCTTCCCTTCCCTTGAAGAAACATACCCTCTTTCTCTGCCTCTTCTCAAAAGTCCTTCCCTTTCTCAATTTCCTTTTGGTTTTCCTGTCTAAAACCGATTGCCCATCCAAATAAGGGTTTTTGCTCAATCTGGGTTTCATTCAAAATCGACTTTTTCGCGTCCGCAGCCCTTTCATGAGCTCTTAATTTCATCTGGGTCTTCTAAAACCCACTTCCCACATGGGTTTTCTTTCAAAATTGAATGTTTCTAGCCCAAGTGGGGCTTGTTTTCCATCTGGGTTTCTTCTCGTCAAAAGGAATTTAAGCAGAATCTGATTAGTTTCTTCCTAATTTTCCCGTCAATTTTTTGAATTATAAACTCTTCCTAAGCCATGAAAGCCTTTTTCTTCTTAATTTTCCTGTCAATTTTCTCTTGTCCCGTTGCTGCCCAATCCCAATCCGCTGATTCTGGGTCCATCTCTGCTATAATCTCTGAAAAGGGTCTCAATTTCGTGAAGGACTTGCTAATAGAACAGGAGCTTAGAGCTCTTGTTCCTCTTAAACTCAAGGACGTTGAGAAATCAATAAGGATTCCACTCATTGGGAGCGTTTACGTTTCCCTTGCCAATATTACTGTATTAGAAGTTAGTGTCTCGTCGTCGACGGTTCATCCTGGGGATACAGGCGTTGTGATTGTTGCTTCAGGTGCTACTGCTAATTTGAGCATGGATTGGAGATACTCATATAGAACTTGGCTTACCCCTGTTGAGATTTCTGATAAAGGCAGTGCTTTGGTTCAGGTAAAATTGGGTGAATGAATTTGTGTGTATTTGGTTTGAAACTTCAAGGTTTGCTTAGGTATTCAGTTAATGAACTTATGTTTCTTAGTTTAATTTTGCTTGAGATTTGAAATTGAGAACTTTTAAGTGGTCTCATTTGGTTCAGATAGATTTAATGTCTCTGTGAACCAGGTTCGGTTGGTTTGTGACTCTTAATATATCCGAATACAACATCAAATGCACGTTTTTGATAGGTCACATATTAATTTTAGGCAGCTGTTGCTTTGGTACTTTATATTTCTATCTCATAATCATATAATAATTTGTAATGCCATATATTATCTCTACTTACGGGCTTGCATGTTTTGTTGCTCCGTTAGGGATATGATTCCTTATTAGAGTTAGGGATACAATTTATGCTAGCTCTTTGTTTACAGTCACCTTCATGTAAAAAAAAAGAACTATTTGAGATCATTATTTTTGTAAATTATCTGAGCAGAATATATCTACATTTTTACATGCATGCATCAACAATCATTACACACTTATATTCTGTAAAGACATTTGAAAGCACAAAAATGTTCGGGTGCAAATATAACTTGCTTATGTTTCTTGAAACTATGTATTAATTAACAATAAATTAGTTTGATTCATAGGTTTTGAAGACCTCCACCTTTATCTATTATCTATGCTGCATAGAAAAGCAATAGCTGCAATCTGCTAAAAATACTCTGCGTCTCAATTTTGTCCAAAATGGAATTTTAGATTAGAGATGAGATTAGTACATGGGTGTCGTACTCTTCTCTACTTGAAAGGAGAACCCAAGAAACACTGTTCATGATACAGTAAATTACTGTAGCTGTAGCATAAAACAGTAAACTAAATCTGCCCTCTACATTTGAATTAGTGTTCACGCTACAGTAAAACCGTAGCATAATATAAAATATTTTTGCTACAGTACTAATATTTAGATCATTCTTTAAATATAGATACAATTTCTAAATCAAATGTATTAAAAGTTGGATCATTTTTTAAGTATAAAGGCGTAAGTATGAATTCTACATCAAATGTATTAAAACTTACATCCTTTTTTAAGTATAGATGAGTAGATATAATTTCTAATTTTAAGCATACAGTAATCAAATCAAATGCATTAAAACTTAGAGGGAAACGAGTTCAAAATGCAGTGTTTAAAAAAATAGGGGGCCGTAATTTGCACGGGGTGCACACTAGTTTTAATAATAGCACAAAATATTCATTCTAATGTGAATGCTATTTTTTTGGACAAAAACTAAATTAGTATCATTTATTGTGCTTTAGTAAAAGGGTTGATTGCACATTGACCCAATTATAATATTGCATTGTGCCAGTTATTACCCCTTATGTTTAAAATTGGTAGATAGTGAAAGTACCCTAGAGGGGGGTGAATAGGCTACTTGCTAATCTAATCCGATTTTGATGCCAAATTAAAACCTATAAAGCAATAATATCCTAGCTATATGATATACAAGGAGATATGCAAGGATAAACAATGATACAATAGGCGATAAACAATGAGATAATAGGAGATATAAAAAATGCACAAGATGTAAAGAATAATAATGCGCCAAAAACAATGGCAAACACAAGCTATGATCACGGAGTTCAGTCAACTCACGACCTACGTCTCTGCTCCTCACCTCGAGGAGATCTCCACTTTATCTCGAAAACTACATAATTACGGTTTCCAAAGATCACCGATAACTTTTACAATACACACGATGTCAATCACACAAGCCACACTCCTCTAAGTGTTGGATTACCCGTGTTAACTTCCTCAAGTGTTTGGATTTACAACATATCCCTAGGCTTTACAACTAACCTACTCCTCTTGGAATTAATCCCGGTCTCTCCCAACCACTCCTCTAAGTGTTATTGTGTATTGCAACGTGTTTAACGATAAGTGCGAATAAGAGTTTTGTTCTCTAAATAGATGAGAATGAAAATATAATCACTCTCAAAGAATCACTTTCACAACCCAATTATACTAAATGTGAAATACTAAAGCTTAAGAGGTTGTGTGTGTAAAATGAATATAAACGCAAGTAAATCTGATATATATATGAGAATCAAAATATAAATTAGCTAAAGGAAGGATTTGGAAAACTTCTCCTAAGAAAGGAGAGAGAGAGATTTGAGCACCTCAAAAACGAGATCGAGATCCTTCTCTTTGTGAAACTCTTTTCACATAAATAAACACACTTGATCTTTTAAAAACTTAGAAATAAACTGGTGAAACTTCTCTTGTTTTTCTTAGCTGAAAAATAAGTCTTGAGGGCTATTTATAGCCTCTCAAAACAGATCAAACAAAACCTAGCCATTACAGAAAAAATGCATGATCAATCGACTGGTTGAATATATCGGTCGACTGATAAACTAACCGTTACTATAAAGAAAACAGACATTTATGACTCGATCGACTGAAAACCAAGATCAGTCAACTGAAAGCACTATTCGGTCGACTGACTCTATTGGTCGATCAATTGGTCGACTGATAAAACTAATGCTGTAAAAACTGTTGCTGGCAAGTCGACCGAAAAGTAGGTCGGTCGACTGAAATGACTGTTCGGTCGACCGATCCTTGTCGACTAAAAAATTGATACACAGATACTGAATTTTGTTGAAAAGTTAATCTTCTAAATTCGATTTAAAATAGCAAAACAATTCAAAAAATAGTAAAACTTGGCGAAACGTTTATACATATGAAAATGAATATGTTAGAAGAGGAATTTCTAAAATAGCATTTCTCATTTGTGAAAACTCATTATTTTGCAAAACGGTCAAAAATACAAGCTTGTTAAACACTTGATTTTGATGAAACTATTTTAAACAAGTTTTGAGATGCTTTTAAATGGATTAATAGACTTTAGAAAAGTTGTAAAACAATATCATTAAGTCAATAATCCAATAACATTATATATTCCCAAATAGATATATAATACGATAAATTGAAATAACGTGTACGTGTATGGTTTGAGCTTTAAGTATAAACACATAAAGTAAAAACCTAAAACATTATACCAAGCTTAGAAATCTTCGTGAAGCTCGATCTTGGTAGCAGAGATGAAGCGATAATGTGTCCTTGACTTGAATGACATCGCGCTTCATTCCGATTTCCTCTAACCTCCATGAATTTCATCGTTAAAGCTCAAGTCCATCCAACCTCCAACTTGAGGATGCTTGTCCAGAATACCTAGCAAGCAAACACAAATACTAGGTGGCGGTATTAAGAATTGTTTGTTAATCATCAAAACTAGATTAGACAATAGGGTCATAAACATAAGACCTAACAGATAGACCCCATTTACCATCACACTCTGCCTCCCGTCCTCACTGTGTGGACAACAACTCTAAGCTATTTGGTGTTATGCCTTTGTAGACACTAATTTCTCAGTGTTCCTTGCAAAACAATATTTCTCTGATCAAATATTGTGAAAATAGATCTTCTTCATGATGCCCTGGTCCCATTGTTCAACTTCAACAAAGAGGCCATCAGAGGTCAAGGGAGAGAATGTATGGTTATGTAGAAAAATCAGATATCCTTGTGGATAAAAGAGTAGATGATATTTCTTTCTAGGTCAAGCTATAAGCCAAGACCCTCTAACAATATTTTCTGCAAATTGTATCCCTCACAAGATAAACATGTCCACATATCATTGACATAGCTTTATGGCCTTTCTTGTATAAGCAGGTCATTTGATATAAATGATACTTTGGATAAAATAGTTCCCATTGAATTTTTAATTTGGATCTCTATGCTGTGATCAATCTCGTTGAGTAGGAAAGGTACCTTATATATAGGTTATTAAGAAACATGGTTATGTGCACATGGAGTTACTTCTTTCTTCAAGCATGTTTCTCTCTTTGTATTTACCATCACAAAAACATATTCTATTACATAATTTCCACTTTCTTTTCATTATAACTGCATCCTTACCTGTATGTGCACCCAATTAAGGTAAATTTATGACTATTGCTTCTTGATAAGGTTGAAGGCATGCAAGTTGGTCTCACCATAAGTATGAAGACACGGAATGGAACTTTACAACTGACAGTTTTGGAGTGTGGTTGTTCTATGAAAGATTTATCAATAACCTTGGAAGGAGGAGCATCTTGGTTTTATCAAGGGTATGTCGTTATACATTATATGTTCCAATATGCTCCATTCGATAATCAAGATTCATTTTCGAATATTTCATTTACACCCTTGTTTAATGTAATTTTCTTTATTCATCTTAATTTGATTGTGTCAATGATTGCATGAGAGATACGGTCAATTTCTGTTTTCTGTTAACTTTCGACACACCACAAAAGATTTTAAGAAATGTGTGATGCATTTGCAGCAGCGTCTATGGATTTGTGTAGCCAACCCAAAAGTGTGTATAATGTTTGTTGTACTAGTATTGTTTTGGTTGTAGAATTTGTGTACCTTCTGCCTTCTGGAAATATTCAAGATAGATGTATTGACATATTGATGCACTAGTTTTGGAGAAGATAAACATGGCCATACAAGGACAACTTTTAAAAATGAATAACTTGCTGAATATAATTTCTTACTGGAGAAGTTTGACCAACCCTTCATTTCTTAAAATGACACCATCAACAAGTCAAGGATTTTGTTTGTTTGTTCATGAGCTTCCAGTAGTTTTTTAAAAAAAGTCTTGAGTTCAAAGAGAAAATAAAGACCATCAGATACCTGATCTAGCATAGCAGGATTGTGTATATCACCAACTATCTGCAGACAAATTTTTGTTTATGTTTTTAACTTCTGATATACTAATTATGATCGATTTCATTTGGTGCTATTGTTAAATCGGTAGTACAAAGGCCACTGAAAATAAAGAGCATGCTGAAGCGGGGAAAACAACATGTGTCTATGTTCCAAGTTAGTTTGCATAATTGATCCAGCTGCCTTGTGAAGTTATCGGTATCTTCACGTGTTTGATGTTATAATTTTCACCTTGCCTAAGTCCAAAAAATAATGCTATTTTTCAGATTGTTCTTTTTAAATGGCTTCCTGCCAATAGTGTGATGGTAATATTCTTCTTTAGTAACTAGGAAGACATCTAGTTAATGGTAACTGTATTCATCTAATGCAACTTAAAAGTGTGTTTTCCTTCAACATCCTTCTTATGTGAGGCACGTAGATAAGGAATTGAAAGTCCTAACGTTTTTCATATTTCTTTCATACCTTTAGGTTCGTAATTGCTTTCGAGGATCAGATCAGATCTGCCATGGAAAGTGCTATTACTAAAAAGATTACTGAAGGGACCTCAAAGCTTGACTTGTTCTTGCGAAGTCTTCCAAAGGAAATCAATGTGGACAACAATGTTGCATTAAATGTGACTTTTATGAATGACCCTATTCTTGGGGACTCATCTGTCGAATTTGATATCAATGGATTATTCATTCCATCAGATAAAGTTGCACTTCCGAGGAATTCATATGAAAGTTCACAGACTTCAATTTCTTGTTTGGGGGCACCGAGGATGCTTGGAATTTCACTAGATGAAACTGTGTTTACTTCAGCTGCAGCAGTGTATTTCCAGGTAACTTCATCTAATGCTCCCAGACTGTAATTATCTAATTCTCATGTTGTTTGCAGTCACTTACTGAAGTTTTACTTTCCAGGTATTAAATTTTAAACCCTTTATCCAAAAAGATTGTAAATATTGGATATACCTTGAATTTTCAAGACCACTGAAAAATAATATCATAAATTGGCAATAATGGCCTTATTACAATATCTCATTGTCAATTAAGTATAGTTCTTGTATATGAAATGTATAATTGGGATATATAAAAATTTATCTTCACTTGTAGTAGATGATTTCTGCAGGCAGGATCAATGCATTGGCTTGTTGACAAGGTACCAGATCAGTCTCTACTGAATACTGCTAGCTGGAAATTCATTATCCCTCAATTGTACTGGAAGTACCCAAATGATGATATGGAACTAAACATTACATTAATCTCTCCTCCTGTGATGAGGATTAAGCCTGAAGGAATTGGAGCTACCATAACTGCAGAGATGACAGCAAATGTCTTGCATAAGAGTGAAAGCATTCCTGTTGCTTGCATAATGGTGGTATGTTATATGGCTCCCAGGCATTTATTTGTTGCTTCTATTATTCTAAAGTATGGCTGTGTTTCTGGTGCCAATGAAATCCTATTAGATGCATCTGTATGAACTTTTTCTATATTGGTCCCTTAAATCTTTAATATTTTGAATTGGTCCCTCAAATCATTGAAATTGCTATTTAGTCCCCCAAATCCTACTAGTTATTTCAGATTAGTCCCTCTGTTTCCTCCATCTAAATTTCTGACTTAGGTTGAGCTAGTTTGTTAACCACACATGTTGAGTTATATTTCTACCCTCAATTAGTGGTTTCCCCCTCAAAAATGCCAATAAAATTAAAGAAATAACGTCAAAGAAAAGGGTTTACACAGGTCTAGGAACTCAAAATCTGGGATTTAAATAGGTTTAAAGAGACAAATATGGGCTTGGAGTAAATCGAACAGAGGTGTATAACTAAATACATGGCAAAAAAAAAGTTAAATAGGATATTATTCCCAAATCAAACAGTTGCTGACTATAGGGACTAGTTTGAAATAACAAGTAGGATTTGAGATACTTAAGGGACTAATTTCAAAGTATTAAATATTTAATGGATCAATATTGAAAAAGAACCCCACAATTTTAATCTCATGAAACTTGCCCTTACTAATCTACTGAGTTTGGAACCTTGTTTAAATATCCTTTTACAGATCTAGTGAAGAATCTCATAATTTTAATTTAACCTGAACAATAGCTAAAATTACTTTACAGGTAGTTTCAGTTTCTGGTGTAGTGGAGATTTCAGGGAATAATTTAGCTGGTAAAGCTGAATTAAATGACTTCACCTTGAGTTTGAAGTGGAGTAAAGTCGGCAATTTTCACATGTATTTGATTCAGGTAATATACAGATGCTGTCATTTATTATTATTATTTCTCGCCTTCTTTACTATTTGTTGAATTCTTAGAGAATAGGGTGTCATGTATAGTCATACAACTGTATCATTTTTTGTATGTGCTTATGTATGAAACCCAATTCTGAAAAGAAGTAATTCTTCTTGGGTCACAGTGATGGCATGATTTATTTAGAGTGTTTGATATCACATTAGGGTAGTAGCAATGCCTTGACATTGTGAAAAATGCTAAGCTGTGAAACTAAGATGATTATATTTATAGGAGCAGTTGAACAAGAAATTCCTAAAAATTTTGTCTGCATAACAATTTGGTTCTGATGATTGATGTACGATTCTCAACCTTGAGAACCTCAAAATGAGATTTTGTTGTCATGATTACTCATGAAAGCAAATAAACACACGAGAATTTGTAGGTAATGTCGCTCATGGTAACCATGTCATTTGTGAGGTCTAAGAGTTTATCTTACAGATTTATAGTATTCGTTATTATTGATATTATACTGCCATTATATGGTTTAGAACGAAGTGTGGTAGAAAATGAGGATGCTGTTAGAAAACTCTTCATCACGTAATCTTCTCAATCTACGCAGGGGGTAATGAAGGTATTTCTCAACACTGTATTTATACCGCTTGTAAATTCTCACCTCAAGCAAGGATTTCCTCTTCCAATCATTCACGGATTCACTCTTCAAGATGCAGAAATACTTACTTCCAGCTCGAAGATAGTCGTATGTTCTGATGTAGTGTTTACAAATTCCAATTCTTTGATGCGTTTCCTGTTGCAAAACTATTCTTCAATGCTGCGCTTGAGAAATCAATGGAAGTAAGGATGCTGTTTGCAAACGTAATATTTGTAATGATGTATTGCCTAGATTACAGTTGAGAAATACTCTTCTTTCAGGATACATACGCTCTGTATAGCAATAAATTTGTGCACATATATGTATATTTGGACTTTAGAGTCATGCACTGAGTTTTAAGTTTTTCCTTTTGGTGTCTGCCTGCTTAGTATTATCAATGTCGCGTATCTTTTTTAGTTTCATAATGAACTCTCCACACCTTTTCTATTGAGCAACTATATATTTGTAGCATTTTTATTGTAAATCATGGAAGATTTCACAAGTTAGGTGGTAATGACCTAAACACAAACAAAACTCACTTGGTGTTTCATTTTCAATAGGTGTTCTTTTGGTCTTATTGTAAAGAATGAAATGTGGATTACAAATTTGTTGAAGGCAAACATGACGCTTCTCTAATCGAGCTGTATTTCTTCTTTGGCCAAACTTGGTTACATTTATGTTCATTTGATTATGCTGGAGTGTAAAATCTATTCGCAGAGTACAGAATAGGTTCATAACTAGATTATACACATATTTGTACAGAATAAGTTTATAACTAGACTATACATATATAATAACTAAATGATATTATATTTTATATTACTAAAAATTATAATCATCTATTATCTACTACTACTACTACTTTTTAAAGAAAGAAAGCTCGTCTTTTGGAACTTTTTATCTACTACTACTACTACTTCTATATAATTTCTTTTTAGTTGCGGCTTCCCCATCTCAATTATTCCATACTAAATAAAATTCAATGATAATCAAAGGGAGAACTTGAGATTCCAATCACATTAAATTCGATTGAATAATAACATATTTTTTACGCACAAGTATGTACTGTGACACACGCGCATTACGTGAATTGGAAAACTCGTGAGTTATTTATTCATATTTGATAAAATAGAATTATAAAAGTATCGTCTTATTTATTCATTAATTGTTATCGTATTGTTTTCTATATTTTAGCGGAGTAGGTGTAGTTACAAATTCGAATTGGATAATTTGCATCTCTTGTATCATTAATCCACATTCGACATGTTATATTATAGAGATCTTTCATCATCTTTTGAGAAAAAAGAAGTGAGACGACAAAATAAAAAAGAGTGCAACCGAGAAGTATATAAACGTATAATCTTTAATTACTTGTTATGTATTTTATTTAACAACATTGATTTAACATTTTGATCTCATCTCTCTCTCATCATCATTCTAATTAACGGACCACTGCTGTCGTGGTTGTCTGCGAAAAGCAAAAAAGTTTTTAATCCTATTGTTGCAAAGAGAAAATGAGATATTAGTCAAAATCACAATTAAATAATAAAAAAGTACTTAAATTGCGCAAGTTTTCTAAGCATTAATCAATTATACTCCTTCCATCAAGCATGTGCACTTTCAAAATTTTTTTAAAAAAAATGGAAACTCTATATCTCTTATAAGCTCGATAAGATATTTATCGAATAATATTTTTCGATATCGGTCACTTAAATCATAGCGAATTTGATATTAGTCCCTCAAAACTTCATATTTTGATATTAGTCCCTCAAATACACTTTAAACTTTGTGGGATGCAGCTAGAGCATACACCATTGAGGAGTACAACACGCACATCGAGGCCATTAGATCAAGTTTCATATGCAGCTTACAAAGACTGTCTTTAATCAACACTTTATGTGGTCTAGATCTAAATTCAATATTGTTACAGTGAATCACTATATTGTCAACATCTTGTTTGACGTCTACTAATTCATGATTATTAGATGCTACATTCCTTCCTGCAAGTTGATCTGTTGATAAATCAGATGTAAAATGATAGAAAGGTTCAATAAAAGGAGAGAAGCAAACAGCCAAAATGGAAGGGCAAGTTAGGTTCCTTATGCCGATAGGTATTGCAAAGATTTGAGCAAAAAGTTAAGGGGGATATCAAGTTAGGATATACTAATGATGGTGAAAGCTGAAGTGGAGAATGAGTTTGAAAGGAGAGTGGTTAATCTTGAATATGCGTACATGCAGTATAGAAAATGGTATATCACTAGTTGCCATGCATTCATGTTCTGATTTGATTGGAACAATAAGGAATGCAGATTGGTCCACAAGTTCCATAACCATTATTAGCAGTGTGGAATATGTATTGCAGTTTATTCATGTTAACTTACTTTCATAATTTTTTAATTTCATATTCATGTTGCTAACACTTATGTGATTTTATATGTAATGCAGTATAAATTAGCATATAAAGAGCCTATAGGGGTTTTACCACAAAGGACTAGTAGAAAATATATGTGAAAGATTTTACAATAACCCCTCCATATACAAAGAGACCAAGAGGAAGGCCAAAGAAGAAGAGGATAAGAGGGAGAGGCGAAGATGATCTTGGTAAAGAGAGACATCACAAGCGGAGCAAGAGGATTCACAGATGTAGTAGATGCAAGACCTTGGACATCACAAGACCAAATGTAGCAACCTATAAATGATAGTGATGGAGTACTCAACATGACACAAAATCAGGCACAAGGACCAGTGCACCACTGTATTATTACTTACTTTTTAATTGTCATTTACCTCTTAATATACTAATGTCAATTATGTAATTGCAGACATAGTGGATCAAACTAACATAACGAAATTAGATTGGCACAAGACCAAACAAGTCAAGTAGATAGGACCAAGATGATGACACAATTGTTTTTCAAAATTATTTTAGCTTAGATGTTTGTTATGGTGTTCACTCACCCAAGATACAGATATTTTGCAAAACTGATATAATAAGGGTCCTAGCAATAACAAACTCAATCCTTTAGCCAACTCCCATAGTTATCTCCTCGAACTTAGGGAAGAAAGCCGCTAGTTAACTCTCAAGAGTTCTAGGCATTCGTACTCCTCAGTCAACATTTCAAGCCCTTGTACATTTTTAAGGTAAACCCAAGGCACAACGACTCCTCAGTCAAATTTCAAGGCCCTCCGCTCTTTTCAAGGTAAGCCCAAGGCAATAATATATGGTTGAATCCTCCAGTTAGGGGTGCTAAACCATATCTGTATCGAGAAAATATCCGTAACCGTATCCGTTAGGATACGAAATATGGTTACTCAAATCTATAACCGAAGGATATGGTACGGATATGGTTTTGTAGTGAAATATCCGTATCCGTATCAAAATATCTAAATACATACTTAGTCATGACTCTTACAATAGTTTCGATTCTTAGATTATGGATTAGTGGTTAATTTTGATGATCAATATGTCTAATCTTAACTTTTCAATTATAATGGATATTATTAACAAACTCCTTTTGTACATGAACTATGTCCTTTCTCAATACTATCTTAGTTTTCTCATATCCGTTTTGTATCTGCATGCATATCTGCTTATATATCCGAATGGTATATCCGTAACCGTATCCAATTTTAGCGGATATGGTTTATATTTTTCTTACCGAGGTATATCCGTATCCAAGATGGGTAAGCGATATGGATATGATAAGCATCATATCCGATCCATATCAGGAGGACGCGAATGCACCCTACAATGCAACTTGACCATCATGGCTAATTAACAAGACCATGGTACCTTATTAGGGATAAAACCCAAGGCACAATCCAGAGCCTCGGTCCCTACCACATCATCAAGAGCCGATCTCTCTGGTGCGACACACAAAGGCAATATTGGTTGGCACGAGAGATCCTGACCTCTCATCAAGTCGACACCTTTTATAATGCGACTCCGAGAGACGAATTGTTAGCTAAGACGAGACGAACATTCAATCAGCAGCACAAGCCAAAATTCCTAAGTCGAACGGCGAAAACGGTAATCGCTCGAAACCCCTCATCATCAATGACCAACCCTACTTAGGACACCTCGACCACCTCACTGGCAATGTCTCAGAGGCGCAACTAGAAGGGACATTTCGTGGCTCACCCAATTAAGTTAGAATTCGGCCCACCGTCCTAAGCTGCTACCAGAGTATAGTGCGACATCTTTAGTCCACGCTCGGACAAGTTTTATCCTAGAGTTGTGGCCCGTGAGCTGTCAGCTCAATCACGTTTCTGAAAAAATGTCGGAGAATACCGCTGCTCCCATGCCGAAGTGGACTTCTCCTCCAGTCGTCTGCCGACAGGCCCTGTAAAGCGAGGGGATGATTCGTATGCTGTGTGCCTTCTGCCACGCGTAAATTAAATCACTTCCCGGGAAGATCGGCGGAAATACACCTCATTGCCGTGACGCATGCGTGACTTCCCTCCAGCGCCAGTATACGTGTAGAGCAAACGATTGATTCACCGTCCAGCCTCGCACTTTGTCCACCTGGCTAATTTGCATGAACCAAAGGTGACCAATCTATCATGAGCCAATCCTCGGTATATATACACATGATAGTCGCAATAAAAGGAGGGAGGTTTCGGCAATCTGAAAACTCGCTTCTCCTGAACCTAAATCTCCAGAATCATCATCTGCTAATGCCATATAGCATAAGAAAACATAAGTTGCCTATTACTCTACTCAAGCTCCAAGTTCATTCACCTGACTTGATTCGCGGAGGTACACAGGGCAGAGGTTTAAAACGTCGGTTATCGGGACGATTTATCGGTACGGAATCAAAATCGCTTAATCGATAGCGAAAATCAGGGATAGTATCGGGGTAAGTAGTACTTTGTCGAGTATTACACTAAATAATAAACAAACATAAGCTGAAAAGTTAAAGTTAGTCAAATGGCGAATAATAAACAAGCAAATAAATAAGATAACTCAAGAATGAAGAACCATTCTTATGCATCTACAATAATTTTATGTTAAGTCATAAGATTCATAAACTAACTTCTAAGTTGATATTTAGTTGAGCGCTAAATCAATACATAAAACAAACATTAGCTAAATTAACCATCAACAAGTTCCCAAGACACAAATAGCTCATAATTTGTAAAAGAGGCAAATTTAAAAAAAATCAAAAGCCCCCAAGTTACCTATTTATCGGGCCGGAATAAGCCAGATATTTAGAGCTTTACTTATGCGGGGCCGATAAGTGCCTTTATCCGCCGATAACTCGCGCGGATAAACCTCAAAAAACGATAAACTGAGACTTTAAAAATTCTACCTTATCCTATGGCGAAGACGCCCAAATGCAGATAACTCGGCGATAATATCGGA